CCCCAAAACCCCAAAACCCCAAAACCCCAAAACCCCATATTCACATCCAAAGATTGGAAAGATATTTTAAGTAGGCTTAACTACTCTTTCTTACCAAAAGTCCCTCCAGAATAATGAGGATTCCTATGTGCTGATGTAAAACTCATATTTTTAGGAGAGTTCTCACCTGAATCTTCTTTGGCGTCCATCGAAGAATGTAGATTCTGCGAGGATTTTAATGTACGGTTTAGGTAAGAATTTTCGAAGAATGAATCATCATGTTCCACTTGCTCTCTAATTTTCATCAGTTCAGCCATCTTTGTCCTTGTCTCAGGAGAGAAATAATCACTATCATCCTGGATAGTATTCATCTTGTTTTGGTATGATTCTTTGAAACTAAAAGTACTGGGATGAACTGGAGGTTTGACAGTTGAATCGTTAAGCCTAATAGCTTGAGAATCACTTCTCTCAATATTATTCATTTTAAATTCCTCGACTAAACTATCAATCAGGAAGCTTACTCTTCAAATCATTGATATGCTCAAATGCTTTATCATAAAATACAATTTTGTCTTGAATACTAAGGACCTTCATCCATTTCTCAAGTTGGTACTGAATGAACCCAATGACATAGATTTCTCGTTGCTTGTTTTCCTCATTAAGAGTTACCATCTTAAGTAGCTCAAACTGATCACCCATCGAATTAACAGTCATTCCTGTCTGTATGAAGTCCAGGTTGGCTAGCTTATAGCTCCTGTATAGCTTCTTTTGCTCAATATCTTCGTAAATATTGATGACAAAAGTCTTGTCAAAGGAGTAATTGTATATCATACTGAACATGGGGAAGAACCTGATCTTCCTCTCTATGAATTGGTCTAGTATGAAGGTATACTCTTGCTCGAACAATACATGGCCGATGCTCTCAAATGTATCCATAAGCTCATCATAATCATTGGTTATTATGGGAACTCTGGTGATGACTATATCTTTCTAGGGATTAGATGAGAGCTTACCCATAACATTCGCAGGATTCAAGAGCTTGCATTATGTTCTTTCGCTTGAGTTCGATCTGTTTTAGCTCTGATTTTAGAGCATTTTCTGTCTGAAAGTAAGCATCATACTTGTTAAGCAATTTCATCTGCCGCTCTTTGTATATTCTTTCTATTTTGGACATGGCATCTTCAAGAGTATCAGGCTCTTCAGAAGGTTTATTTATCGTAGATTTCGATAGAGAGTGTTTCTGTAAATTTTAACTAAAATTTACCTTCTTCTTAACTCTTTTCTTTTTCTCCTTGATTAAGGGATGCACAAAATTCTGATCTGTTTTGTCCAGAGTGTCAGGCTCGAGATCAGTATTTGCATACTTCTTAATCAGCTCAAAGAAAGGAACTCTCTCATCCTTGGAGATGAAGTTGAAAGGGCTGGGATCTAATTCATTCAAAATTTCGATATATTCGGTTTCAGTAAGTTGAGACTGGATTTCCTCTACTTTCTTCTGAATTTTTGCTATTTTATCATAAGCTATACATTACAAGCCAGTTACTTTGGAAATGACTGGGTATTCAGTTGTCATTGGGGGTTGGAGACTCTGAGACCATCTATAATATATCACTAGCAATTTACACCGGTCCTGAGTAACAGATTTATATTATATCCTTCTTCTATGACAAGTTAGTTAGAGGTAAGTTTACTATCAGAAAGGTGGGATATCTTGTTCTCAATGCTTCTCTCTTCATCATCTTGAGCAAACAGAGAGATATGGCTATCCTTTCTGCTGAAATCACTCTCGCTCTCTATCAAGTCTGATTAGAAACTTACCACTAGATTGGAGACCAAGGATTCGACTCAAAGAGAGATTATCATTGGCAGATCCCTCAGTCTGAGGAGATATAATCTTGAGACCTCTTACAGCAAGCTCTTCGCTTTTCATACTGACTGGGAATTCAGGATTCTGAAATGACTTTAGAGATGGCTGGTATTCTAATGACTGAAGTCTTGTTTCTAGTTGATCATCAACCTCTGGAGTTACCAGCACCTCAGGAATTTTCTCAGTTTCTATCTCATTTGAGGTATAATTCTCTTCATGAATTGATGGAAAGTCATTTCTTGATGAATTAGTCTCTGTTTTAGACTTCCTACTATTAATTTTTAAATCAGATTTTGAAATTGATGTCCCTGAAGGTCTCTTAGAAGTATTTGCTGAATATGGCACCTTTTGTCCCTCCTGTTTTGTCGAATATCCTTTCGAGATCATCTCAAATCTGAGTCCTAGGAACAAACATGAGATTAAATCCCTCAGGACAAAGGCTAATAATTACCAGTAACCTTGGCAAGATCCTTGTTCATAAAGCTTCGGTTATTTCAATTTTATAATTTATTCAGGGGTTTTGGGGTTTTGGGGTTTTGGGGTTTTGGGGTTTTGGGGTTTTGGGGTTTTGGGG